GTACATACAGAGTCCTGTGCAGAACGACGAAGCCCTTTCCTGAAATTGCGTGCTGTAAGGGAATTTCGAGAAGAGAATTAGAAAATACCATTTGCTAACGTTAGATAGTATGTATTTTTATTAGAAATTTTAAAATCTCTATGTACTTTACCAGAAGTGTGCATTGTAAAGAAAACTAAGTGTCTATAAGGCTATTTAAAGTTTCGTTTCCAATTTATAATTGTCTCCTCAATATTATCTATCGTCTATATACTGTATTCTCATTCCTTTACCCTTCCAATTATATATTATTTCTAGTATAACTTAACTAAACTATCCTCTCCTTCTACTCTTTATTTTTTCAATTTGAATATTTATTAGATTAGTATTTTCTGCTTAAAAGAATATCTACTACGATTTTCAATTCTTTTAGTAATATACTCTAGTTTTAAAAGGTTTCCTAAAACTATCGCCGTAACTTGTCAAATGGAATTGTAAAGGATTTATTCCGACACGCTGTAGTTTATAAAGTTTATTGAGAAAAAAAATGTGATTTACTTGTTTAAAGATAAAAAGATATAGTGTATTTCCTTTATATCTATTATAGTTTTAGTTATATTATTAACTAAAGACAGACTCACAGAGAGAGATATATAGACGTAGTTGAGTTACTAAACTTGAATAGACTTGGAGTTGACAATTCTTCTCCTTCTTACCTTCCTCTCTCTCTCCTACTCCTACTCTTTTTTTCCTAGTGAGGTACAAACAGTTAATTTCTTTTTACTATTTTCCTCTCTTATTCCCCACGCGTCTCTCTTTCTCTTTTCCCTAACTATCTATTCATCATGACTTTAATTGAGGAAGATGAATGTTAAATTAAAAGAAAGATTTACGAAGAGACGTATCTTCAACAAAGAAAAATGAATATTGGATAAATACCCTTTAATTTGATGTATAAATAGTAATTACTGTAAATATTAATCAGTTATCGCTATCAATGAAAAGAAGCTTGTCAACAATATCTAACTGGATGATTATTATAACAAAGAAGCATAAAGTAGTGTAATATAAAACCAGTTGATTAATTATTAGTTGGAAAAGAATACGTTAAGACTCGGATCTTTTGGAATTTTGTAAACAGGACCTTAATTGAGCTCTTTCCTTCTGTTTTCTCTACGTGAGATTGTACAATATTTACGGGTTTACTTAATATTTTTTATGTTGAAAGGAATGAAACACAGAGTTTGTTTCGCCAAAACTTACTATCTTTTAGTTCTTGCTGGTCGAATTGTGTTCTCATCTGCTTCGTTTCCCATCTAAAAGAAAAGAAATAAAAGAATTGTAATTTATTATACATAAAGAAAAAGGGATGACAGTAAAAAACGTATTATTAAGGACGATAGCAAACAAACTAGTTTGACAATGCGTAAAGCTAGAGAGGCAAATGTGTTCCTTGCTTTGCCTCGATCGAAATCCATCCATCTTGCACACCCTGATAGAGACAGATCGAATGGCGCATAAAGATCTGCCGCTAAGCTTATTCTTCCGTGAAAATGCTTTCAAAGAAACGATCTATACTTTTAATTTTTCCATTTAAAACAAATAAATGTTTATTCTGAATTTCTCTTTATCCCTCTATCTCTATCGCTATCTCTCTCTCTTTCATTCTCATTTCTCTTTTTTATCAAAATTTCATTAAAAAGCCTTTCTTAAGAAATCTGAAAATGAACTATTGCCTTATCTCTTTAAGCATACTTTCCATTCTTAAAAGAAAACAATTTGCTTTAAAATTTCTTAGATTGAATTTACAAATTGACTTTACAAATAAATTACTATAAAGGAAAGTTTACGCTTAGTACATATATATAAAAATAATATCTATTTTCCAAACGTTTACTTATCATAAGAGAGATTATTACTATTATTTATCAAATCTTCAAAAACATAAAAATGAAATAACTAATTAAATCATATAGTATTTAAGTTATTATGTAATAAATACAAATTGAACTTAATAAATAAGACAAATATATATATATATATACATTATATATACACTTTATATATATATGTAAATGTTTGTATTTTGTTTTACTGTATCTATTTCGGTATTTTTCTTTTTATAGTTTGGGAAATGTTTTTTTTTTATAAAAAAAAAAATTGAAAAACTTACTTTATCGCTTTCTTGGCTGATTTTCCTTAATTGGGCAACTTTCGCTATTTTATCATTTAAATAGAAAGCGGAAGTTTGACATACGACAATGACGACGAAAAGGAGTATTAGAAATGTTGGACGCATTGTGTCACTCTGTCTCTCTCTCTCTCTTTCACTCACTCTCGCTCCCTTTCTCTTTACTCTGTCTCTCTGTCGGTATTTGAGCCCTTTTACAGAGCAACTACTTATATATGCGGTTGCCATTTGCAAAAATTCTTCTAGACCATATTAAAATAGATTATCTAAGAATTACAATTAACATTAGTAGGATATTTAGTAAATGATTAATTTTCTTTTCAAGTTTCCCCCATGTTTTCTAAAAATAATCAAGTTTTAACTGCTATAGAAGATCATATATTAACATATACTAATAAATATTCATAGTACATTTACTGAATATTGCATTAACTATTCAATTACAGTGATATATGAGTAATATATTTGTAGAAATTAGCTGTATTTGCATTAAAGTAAAAAAAGAAGGGAACAGAAGAGTCTGAAATGAAAGGATAAGATCCGAGTCTTAAGCGTAAAACTTAAAGCAACCACGTTTGTGTTTCTTTTGTATTATTCTTTTACGTTAATATTTGACAAGTTTGTCATTAAAGTGATAATTAGATAATTTATTCAAATTAGTTGTACTGTATTATCGGAGTGAAGAGGTGTTTAACAATAAAAAAAAGTTATAAAAGGTAAAAAAGAAATAGTGGGAGGGCGAGGAAATGAAAAATTGCTGATTTGCAAACATTTGACTTTATGACATTTAGATATTGATTATCCGTTAATCGATGTTTGTCGCCAGATAATTTATATGTATCTGTTGTATATGAGTTACTAATAAGCAAGATGCACATCCCAAAAGGATTAATTAAGTTCTGAAATATTAATATCTTTTATTGTAAATTCTAGCAATTAACGAGTTTTGATGACTAGTCAGTTGTACTATGCGACAAATTCTTTAGAATTCTATGAATATACATCAAATGCGACTGTTGTCCAGAAGGCAAAATAAAATAAAATATATGTACTAATATTTTACAATATTCATTAACATTCCGTTAGATAGCGCTCTCATAACTAATAGCCCCACCTGACGGAAGAAAAACTTGATAAAAGGGTAAAAATACAAACAATAAATTAGTGTTTTTATTGTTATATAGTAAATTTTAGCAGCTGATGATAAAGTACATATAGTGTGTTGTTGTACACAACATCTTTTTCAATATAGGTATTTTTTATCCTTTGTTTAAATATGAAAAACTTGTTTCAGCCATCAATTTATTAAGCTGGTATCAACTTCTGTGATCATTTATCCAAATAATTTATCATTTAGGCTCAAAGCACATTTTAAAAAAAAACTTGTATAAAGAAAAATGGAATCTGTTTAGCTATTGTCGCTTCTTTCTTAACTCTAATATTCTATTCTATTCTTTCTTTCTTCGTTTATCGATTATTAAGTACATGTATAAACAATATTGGAATTGTTATTTACATTTATTGGGTTAGTTATTAGGTCAAATTATGAATAATAATAAGCACATTTTTTATAGCTCTATTCAAATGTATAGAAGACTTTATCTAGACAAATGATGCAGTAAAATTCGTACTCGTAGCTGTTCGATGACTCGATCTTTTCTCCTCTCTTGCCACAATGTTTTATTGCCAATAAATTCCAGACATTTGATGTTGGAATTGTTAGAGATAGAAAGAAAAAAGAGAGAAAAAGATAGAAAGAGAAAAAGAGTGAGGGATGGGAGAAGGGAGGAGGGGGGTAAGGGAGAAAAAAGACTAAAAACTGATTGATCATTCAAGTTTACCAAATGCAATCTTTTGTAAATAAAAATAAATTCTATTCAAAGGGAGTAACAAGTCTATATAAGCCTAAAAAGAAAAAGAAAGAAGAGAAGAAGGATAAGTTTTATATTATATTTTGATCGTTTAAATTTTCAATACCATATTTCAAGTTATTGTAATATTTGGATAAACTTGGATAAGTCTAAAACAAGTTGAAATATAAGAGAAAAATTTGTCGATTGTTTAAAAGCATAACATTAATACAAGTACAAGATAAATATGCTAATTCCAAAATAGTTATAAGAGTGTAAAAATACTTCTTTACTTAAGATAATCTTTACATGTTTTAATAGAAACGCATGATAGATTTTCTATCAGTTCATATAGGCTATAAATAAAAATTCTACCTCTTCGTTTTGTACTGTCTCTTCTTAGTTCTTAACGCATTAAAATTAGTTATAGGTAATTTTTAACATTTAACATCATCGACGTATTTGGTATCTTATTAAGCCTATAGTTTGAAAATATTATCATATATATATATATATATATTTATATATATAAATAAACGCATATTAGTCAGTAATTAACCAAGTCTATGTAAGAATTAGCTCAACTATCAGTCTTTTAGCTACGTAAATAATTGTTTATAAAACATTAATGTTGAGACAAGAAAGAAAGAAAAAACAGTCTTATCGATTGTTGAAAATTATGTCTACTTTTAATTTAATGACATAACATTAATCGATTTTAGTAGACTTTTAAAATGGTTTTATGAATTATATTTATAACCAAAAAAGAAGAATATTCTATATAATTCAACTATATTCAAAAGAAAATCAATATATATCAATACTATTCTTTTGAACTAATTACCAAATGTAAACGAAGAGTACGTAGGCGCTGGAAATATTTCAAAGATTTAGCAAACACGTACTTCTCTCCACCCCTCCTAGTTATATAAAATATTCGTATTGAACTCTTCCATTCAATTGAAATAATAAAAAAGTCGCAAACCAGTCAAACATTCGTTTTTGGTCTTGCAGCCTGGATCGTGAAGGTAAATATTCTTTTATGGCCGATAAATTGTTCACTTTTCTTTCTTTATTCAACATTTTTCAATTTTTTTAATGATTTTATTATAAGAATTATATATATATATATATATATATCAATAGGTTTTACATATAAATATATGTATATATAATAAATTCTGTATTTATATCTTATCGATAAGCTTGATTAAATAAATTAAAAGAATTTCTAACACTTGCTACTCCCCACTCGAACTAAACACTCTTCACAGAATATCCTTCTTATTCCATAAATAATATCTTTGGTAAATATATACTTGAATATCTAATAAATTATTAAATCTATATAATATTCTTAATTAAACTTATCACTGAATATTCCATTAATGCATATAGTATATATACATATCTATATATTTGCTTATATTCATGAATTCGGTGTTTTCTATGACGATTTCAACACAAGATGCAAAGTATAAATATATATACTGTAAACAAATATATATATATATATATTAAATTGTATAGCAATACTTCCAGAATAGGATAAAACTAAAGTCTTGTCGAAAACGAGTAATCCCTAGCTTTGGATTATTTCACAGCCCTCTTTTATTGTTAATTTCTGCTTTTTCACGAGCACAAAATACACAAACTTTAACACACAATAAAATAGTTATATTAATATATATTATATAGTTTATACAGTATAAACTATACCATGTATTCTTACTTTGTAAAAAACAAAAAGGCATCTCTTACGATTATGTAAATTTATACCTAGATTAGGACCCACCCAAAACATTCGGAATCTTATATTGTCTTATCATGTTGTTCTATGATTATTTTATTTAGATATCTATATCATTCCATATATGTATATTAGTATAGAGCTTAAAAAATTAAATCCAGGTAAATTCATACTTTTATTTTAAATGTTTTAATTAAATGTTGAATTCATCAAGACCAAATTTAACAGCTGTTGAAATAATATAATAACCTTGTTTAAAACAGGTTTTGAAAACATTTACTAAAATTTACAATGTCTCCATGGACTGGTCGAGCCGTAATGAGAATGAAGATGCCTATGGGCGGTAGTAATCTTCCTCTAGCTGGAACTTGTAAAGTTGAAGGAAAGGCTCTCTCCATGAAATTTACCTTTACAACTATTGGATTTGAACTTCCTAAAGACCCAAGTGTTGATAAAGTGGATTTTGATTGCAAGGTAAAAGGATCTTGGGGAGAAATGACGCTTAGCGTTGTTTACAATAAAGGTTTAGATTGTTTCCACGGTAAAGCCGTTCAAGAGGGAGAAGAGGAGCCGGGTTTAAGCTTTTGCTTCTGGTCAGAAGACAGCCCCTTGTCTACAATCCCTTGCCTTTAAGAGCAATTCTGCAAAATCTCCAATTTTAATTAGTTCTTCTTCTAGTTTGCTTCTACTATTATAAACATGCGGTGCCTTTAAAAAATTATTTAACTTTCAATTGAAGCCACAGGCCTATTTGCTTAATATGACAGAAATTGGATTTAAAATATACATATATCTAAAGTTTGCAAATACATCTCTGTATGTCTTTATGTATGAAATATATAGCATAAGCACATACTGTATATTACTGCTCTATCATGTCTATTATGATTTTAAATTATCTTGTATAGGCGTCTATCAGCTGCAATATTTTCCAGTCATATTGATTGGTATAACAAATATATGTCGCTGCAGTGTTTGAACAATTAAAAGCACAAACTTTTCCGAGGACCTTTACTACGATAAGTGAAAAAAAAAGAATAAAACATAAGAGATTAAAGAAAGGTATTTTTCTTATTGATTAACATCGTTCGGCTATGAAAATATTGTAAAGGTTTAAAATTCAAACTTATCACATTAAGAACACTTTTGATATAATATACTCTACTTGAAAAGGTTTTACAAATACTGTTCCATACTATTCATTTTATCTGTCATTCCTTCGTTTCGTCTCTCTCTCACTCACTCACTCTCTCTCTCTCTCTCTCTTTCTGTCTCTTTCTTTCTTGATTACTCGGCTCTTACATTTAAGATAGATCGTTCTTGAAAAGGATAGGCGTGTCCAAAGAAAGAAAAAGGAAAGAGAATATTGAAGGAAGAAATAAACGAAGAATAGAATTCATTTGTATTTTATTTTAAATTATAGATCTCAGCTATTAATTTTTTATGACTAACAAACTAGAGATGGCACCACCTTCTGTAGCAAGTTTTGTGTTATTTCAAATTACGATCGCTAATATTTGAATAGTGGAAAAAAAGTACGAAGAAACTAAAGGTTAAAGTTGATCAAGTGCTTATGTAGTCCTTATCAAGTACATCAATAGACACTCATACGGTTCGATAATCCTATAGATTTCTTAATTTATATAATATATTTAGGCAATAACAATAGCAAATAAAATGAAATTTTAGAAGAGAAAAAGAAGGAAAAGCTAATCTTCAATCCAAAATATAGCTAAAATTTCTCATATATGTCAGAAAAGTCTAAATATATTTATATATATATATATATATAACAGTATAGAACAAATTTTTTGAAAGAACTAGTTTAGCTCTTAAGTATATTTAAACTTTAGCTATTATTTATATAAGTCAACATTATTATACTATATACTATTATTTAACACAAAAATATATTATTTATTCTTTCATTTATCAACAAGAAAAAAAACTGGTAAGTGCTTTAAAAAAGCAAAAATTCAGCTGGTAGAAACGTGTGAGAATGTGTGAAAATTATAAAGAAAGAAGAGGCTATAAGGTATACAGTATCACTGCTACTTCAACATTAAGTTGACAATGAATAAGTGAACGTGTTTCATAGTTTTCTATAATAATGATAATGGAAGAAGCTTGTATAATAAACGTAATACAGTATATGACAATAAATTGACAGCCAACAAGTATAAACTGCCATATATAACTCTTGAATTGATGTTAAAACATTTAAGAGTATGAATTTGTCAAAAAAGTTTTGTTGATATTGTTAAACTTTTAGAGTATGTGAGAACGAAAAAAAGGTGGTTTGGAAGATTGAATAGCATGAATGATAAATAAATATTTATAACGAAGAAAGTTTCAATCTAGTTTTAAGCCAGGGAATGAAATTGAAAAATTCTGTAAAGAAATAAATAAAAAAAGAGTTAGTTGATGATTTTATTTACGAGAGCGAGGCCTATTGAAAAATACAAACAATATATATAAAAAAAATATGCCTTGCTAATGCTATTGAAGCTATACCATGCGCTCAGCGTCAGATATATCTATCCTTATATATATATATATATATACAGGCCAACGCTATTGAAATCCCTCTAGTGAACTATGCTGTATATTGTATTATATTCTACGCTTGAACAGCTTTGGCTGTATATTAAAAAATCTCTTTTTTTTTTATTCAACATTCCTCCGGATAACTCTTTGGTTTTTGTAGATGTTAAAGCGTAAAATTGAATGGTTTAACGCTTTTAATTCGTAAATAATTATGTTAATCTAAAGAGGAGTGGAGAACCATAAACTAGAACAATTTTTTCAACACTTATATATTTACATAATCAACTTAATAGGTAAGAATTATACATTTTATATATCTATATATCTTTTTAAAATATTCAACAAGAATACAATCTTTTGAAATTTCTCAAGAGGTATAAAGGAGTTGGTGTTCCATATAAATCTCAATGTTAACAAGCATTCGTTATTCAAGTTAGCTGAATTTGACCATGCAATTTAAGGTAAATATTTAGAATTATTATAAAATAAAGAACTTTTTTTTTTAATATTGTTAATATGACTATATCTTCTTCATATTTCCCGCCCTCTTACCCCTCCTCTTCCTCTTCTTCCTCTCCCGTCTTCTCTCATTTATTGACGAAATACTAAAATATTTACACAAAAAACAACAGTTGAAAATGTATAAAGACTTCTTAACTTCCTATTGGATATATATCTTACTATTTCAATTCTGCATAAAATATTCAAAAGCTGAAGATAGAAGACTTTGTCAATTAGAAAATCAAATTAAACCAATAGAATTGCACTTAAAAGAGAATATAGCTAAAGGAGCTAAAGTTATTAAATTGAATATAATTGGTGAACATGGTTCGGATATTACGACTTCTATGGATTATAACGACCACTTAAGTTACAATCAAACTTCAAAAGTTATTACGACAAAGAAAGATTTAGATGCTGAGAAGTTAAAAACTATAGCGGTAACAGTTATCTGTAAAACTTTATCTGTTGGAAATGTTATGAACACAATTCTGGTTCTTATTACAATTGACGATGAAAACGATAATCCACCTAATATTATTCTACCACCTCAGCCGGTGGTCGTCGATGAGGTATTGGATTTCCTTCGTTTCTATTTTTATATATAATATTAACTCTATAGAAAGATAATCTTTGATAACATTCTCAACAGATTTTGCCATTGAATTCGACTGTCGCTCAAATACGAGTCGAAGACGTTGATTCAGTATCACCAAAAATACGCTTATCAATTTTACCGTCCAAGTATTCAGTTAGTAAAATAAATAGTAATAGTTAGCTAACAACCAACCCATACTATTCATTAATACCTTTAGGATTATTTCGAAATTCCTACAAGCTACATCACAACGAATAGTAGGACAATTTTAGCTCTGAAAAAGCCTCTAGACTACGAGAAAACTTCACGGATGATTATTACAATTGTAGCGGAAGATAATGGAAAACCTTCGAGAAACTCTTCAAGAGATATAGAACTACATATTCGTGATAACGACGATCAGAGCCCAATATTTTCTAAACAAATGTACAAAATTCGTTTACCAGATCAATTCTCAATTGGTTTTAAAGTACAACCAGAAGAAGGAAAAATTTTTGCTTACGATCCGGATAAAAGCTTCAATGCAACAATCATATACGAACTTGTACCGGATCCTCTCTTCTCGGAAACAATAGATCTTTTCCAGATAGATTCTAAAACAGGATCAATAAAACTACTAAAGAATTCTCAAATGATTTTACAACAGATTAATTTCTGCATGGGTATTAAGGTCTGTATAATAAAATTATCAAATATTTAGCTTATTAGCTGTTTTACACAATATATCAATATATATATATATACTGTATATATACAGTATATATATAACAATACTGTGCCCTAATACTAAGTATAATTTCCTTTAATTAAATCCAATTTAAGAGGTATGTTATCCCTTTTGATAGCGTATTGTTACGAAATAGAAAGTTATTTTCAAACATATTCTATTTCCTTTTTCTTTCGAGAAACACCTATTACTGACCTTTTAAAAAAGTGAGGAAGAAGAGTTTAAAAGGTTAAATACTAGCTGAGAATTAATTGCATGGGAAAATATATATACATATATACAGTATGAAATAGTATTCAAGTGAATTAACTTACCTTAAAAAATAATTAGAAGATTAAAGAATTTATGATTTTATTAAAAGTCATAACTGCGTAAAAGTTTAACAATAGCTTATTTTTTTTATATTTTTATCGTATTTATTAAAAGTTAATCAGTTTTACACTTTATTTTTAGGCTATTCAAGCCGATAATAGCCATAGATATTCAACATCATTACTAAGGATTGGAACGTATAATCTGGATAATAAAAATCCAATTTTCCCTCAAAGTAATTACACTAAGGAAGTATATGAAAATTTTGAAATTGGACAATCAATAATCAAAATATCGGCTTATCATTATCAACAACGTTTAATCAAGTATAGATTTACTACTAACAACGAACTTTTCTCCATAAATGAACAAACGTAAGTGATCTCTATCTACTTTGTAGAAAATTGCGTATATACAAGAAAAAGCTTGTTATTCTTTATATTCTTTATGTTTTATAGCGGTGTTGTTAGTACCAAATCAGCTTTGGACTATGAAAAGGATATTTTTCATTCGTTTATAGTGGAAGCCTATATAAATTCTTACGTATCAACAACAACAGTTTCAATTAAAGTTTTGAATATAAACGAATTCGCGCCAAATTTTAATAATGGCGTCTTTTCAGTCATTTCTGAAAAGACTTATGAGCAAATGATAATTGCATTAGAGGTAAGTTTTTCATTATTCAATTTCTTTAATAATGATTTATCTTTTTCCCTCTATGAAACAATAAATAGGCCAATGACGGAGACGGAGATTCCCTCTCGTTCAGTCTTCTTTATTACGACAAGTACGTTTAAAGTGTCTTTTATACTGTATATCTTTAAAAATATATAAAATAGAAATGAGAAAGAATTCCTACTTTCTCCTTCTCCTTTTCTTCTTCTTTTACTTCCACTTCTTGTCTCTTTTTTCCACGAGATTTACCTTTATATAATAAAATATTCAGAGAATTTATATTCAATTTCTATTATATTTTTTATATCTTTTCTCTTTTTCAGTCTGTTTTCGATTAAAAGACTTTTAAACAATAAAATTGAATTGTTTATAAAAGTGAAACCTGAAGAATTAGGAGAAAATCAATACGTTCTACCAATTACCGTCACTGATGACGGTTCTCCTAATAGAAGTAATACAACTATAGTATACGTAGACTTTAAGAAAAGCGTTCAACTTCCGATTACAAGAGCTGAGAGCAATGTCAAAACTGCAATTATTATATTATTATCCTGTTTATCCGGAGTATTAGTACTAGTTATTGCTGTCCTCATTTTATCCATGTGTAGAAGGTTGGTTCTTTATTATATGTCTTTCTAGTAATTTAACTAACAGCTTTAAAATGTTAAATCTTTTAGGAAAGATGGCTTGGAGAGCATAAAAAACAAAATAGACGCTTATCATGGCGTCACTTTCGACGATATCTCAGCAACGCAGCCTGCAGAATCACCTTTTAAAATTGATAATAATGTAAATGAGTTAAATCAAGTTTCTCAGATATCTCACGTAGTCCTTCATTACGACGATCAGCGCCATCTAACTTCAAGTACAGATTCGTTACCAAATACTGAGATGTACAGTAGACGTAGCATTGTTAATTCAAGTATGTCAATAGGTCGCGGTTCAAGGAATAACGAAGAAATAACAGTATATTACTGACAGTTTAATTTTGTTATTGTTTTATAATTTTTCTATGATTTTGCAAATATTTTATAAAGGAAGAGAAGGAGAAGAATACCGTCTTATATTCTATATATACACAGTATAACTGTATAGTTGTACATATATGTGTCTACTGTAGATATATACATATATATATATATATCTAATATATATTCAATCCGACCCTTATTTTATTCTTTTCTTCTATTTACACATTTTTTTAATATATTAATTTATACAAATTAGATTTTCGTATATTTACGTTTCACCATTCTATATACAACATAACGGTAAGGATAAGGGAAATATGATAACATTAATATTCGCTAAGCGTAATCGGACAATAATTAATTAATAAATTAAACTTGACTACATAACACATTAGAATCGGATGATACCGATTCGATATTCGATTCTGTTGACGTGTTGTTTGCTCGATTTTTTCCTTTCAGTCGAGGAGGCAATGGCGGTGGCCTTTGTCGTGTTGAATTCTTTGGAAGAGGATGAGACTTTCTTTTCTTATCAATTGTTCCTCTCACTGGTATGCTTTGTAAAGAAGATCTCGTAAACTTGTAAAATTGACCGCACTTTTTTCTCAAGCTATTTCGATAGTTTCTTTTAATAGTGTTCTCAGGTGTTTCGCTAGTCACATTCAAGCTTAATGTATTCCCTCCTTCAGTATCGTCGTTCGATGATGACGTAATATTTCCGTTTACCCTATTTGCATTACCAGAAACTTTAGCTGGTATTAAATTTTGCAGTGGTAGGAAGATAATGAAACTCCATGACGTCTTTATTGTAAATATAAACCATGTAAATACCCAAACCAAGAATAAAACTGCTTCTAAAATTATCGTTGAGAGAATTAAACCGCCCTGATTAAGTTTATAGATTACGACAAACTCGTAAACTATTGGGGCTTTTAATGATATAAGACAGAATAAAACTATCATCGATGAACAATGAATCGAATAACCTTGGCAGCATAACGGTTCCGGGTTAGACTTATCAAAGCATTTAAGCCTTAGCGTTTGCAAAGCCAGATTTTGTTGAGATTGAAATTGATCCAGTCCATAATCAAACGTAAATGATAATAAATACATTAAGATTAACAAAGATAAAACGTGTAGCACCGATATTACAGAAAAAGGGATAGGTAGACTAGCGTCAATTAAATCTTGATTAATCGTTGTTTTATACAAGATTTCAAAAGTTGCTTGAGAGAAGATATGCTCTATAAAAGAGACGAATAATTGGCAAGAATAGATTAATGTAAACATCTTTTGACATTTCCAAAATACCGAAGCGTATCTGACGTTTAATACGAATAATGCCATTATGTAATTAATGAATTCTATTGAAACTGGACAATTGGGTAAAGGTCTTTCAACAGCTGGTAACGTCGTCGTTGTACTGAGATTTCCATCCATAATGATTGAATGCTATTTTTAGATCATTTTTTGTTTCGTTCGGGTAGAAAAATATATTAAATATGTTGAGAAAGAGAGATTGATTAATTAATATTTAAATAAGATCAAACATATATAAATATTAATGATTAAAGGGTTTTTAATAAATTTAATAATTATAGATTTTTATGCCCGAACGAACTTCATTATTCTTTTCAAATAAAGTATCAAGAGAACTCTCCCATATAGTTTCTTTGGGAGCTAAACCGTGCTTAATCTCTTCTGCTTTTAAAATCATTTCAGGAAAAAATAGGCAATAGGCGCTGGCCGCGTGACATACATGACATATTGGCGCTAGATGGCGCCATAGTATTCTTCCCCGACTCCTTATTCCCAGGGTGACATCTTGCGTATTATGAACGAAAATTGCTTCTTTACCTAAACGAACGCCGTCATTCGCCAAGTTTCCAGAAGGGAATAATGCCGTAACAACTAAGAATGGCACAAACATTACACTCAGGACAATAAGAGCGATATAAGTGTAAAGTTGTCCAACTGGTTTATCAGATTTAACTTCATTCCAATCGTGTTCATTATAGCTTGTACATCTTTTAACTGCCCTATAAACAAGATAAGTTTCAATACCAATACAGGCAAAAGCGTACCACCATAACCAAAGAGAGTTTATTTTCGTAGATCTTTTACAGAATTTCATTCCATTTGCTGTTGAAAACAATCTTTAAAAAGTATAAACTTTGAATGGGAAATAATGGAATTTTAAATATTTCAATTCAACTAATGTCTTTCTATAGATGTCTAACGAAGAGCTAGATATACTGTGTATATTAAGGTATTTTTATTTTGAAAATATATCGAGATAATAGATCATTCAATAGGCTATCATTGGTAACAAATATCTCTATTAAGTTTAATTTTATCTATTAAAAAAAGCAGCCATCTCGTGTCGTGCATCAATCATTATCAATTGTATGAATGTTGAATTGTTACCGAAAGGGACTAAATTATTCTCGTAAAAAGAAATATTAGTATACTAACTATTCTGTATAGTTAAAGTATATAAAGGAAGATTATACAAAGCAGTAATTGGAGACTATTTTTTCATTCGTTTCTTTATTTCATTAGCTAATTGCGACCAATTTTCCAATCAATTCATTTCATTGAAATAAATCAATACCGACAGCTTAATAAATAAGAGGAAATTGGGCGAATAAGCATATGGATAATTTCTCGTATTTTATCGGTCAATCAAGGCGGGGGTTAAAAGGTTTTTACCTCATCTGAAATCTAAGCGTTCCTTCCCATAAAGTATACAAACATGGAGCAAATTAGCCGGTCTATTCACGAATTTACTATTAAACTAGTATAATATTACCGTTGTATTTATACTTTATACAATTATAGAAAATACAGAATAAACTTTTATCTTTTATATATTTATAAATATTTATATTTGCTGTTTGTGTAAAATGATAGGGGATGAATAAAAGAATTGGAGAAGGGAAGATGAACACTGGCATATCTCAAAGACTTAGGTATGGCGTGTTCGACACCAACGATAACAAAGGGAAAGTGGGAAAACGAATGACCGAAATCCGAGACTACCCTATCTGAATAAATGTACGCTCACGTGATTTTAAATGAGAAATGTCATGTTTTTTTGCGTATAACCCGAAATGATTGATGTAAAAACCCGTTGCACGTAAGCGTGTCATGATCTTCATCGATTTTTATCGTTAAGGAATGCGGGAACCAGCTAAAACTGCGCCTATATATGTTTTTAGTAAATATGGGGATTTCAATGCATCAAAAACCGCCGGCTTCGTGACATAAATGCCCGGGACCTTCTTTTCTACCTATTCAATCCACTTGTTTATTTGTTTATGCGAGATTATGTAATCATCAGGATCAGTTTTCGGGTTGACTTATTAGGGATTTTTTTTAAGTCCGGTTCACCTGTTCCCATACCTTAGGGTATTTTTTTTCTTGTATTATTATACAAAACCTCGTCAACTTTTTTACGTCTAAAGGAATATTTAGATAATAATTCTTACGCAGTAAAAATAAATTAATATAATATTTTTAATAGCTCAAGAGAGAATGGAAAGAAAGAACGAAGGAAATTAAAGAAGAAAAAAAAACGGTCATAAATAATAGTGTTGTTGATTTATTTCTATTGAACATCGTAAAAAAATCTTTTTCCTTCATTCTTTTTCTCTTTTTTGTCCCTCTCTTCTCTTCTTTCGTTTCTGTTCATAACTACTCCTACTACTTCTACAACTATTAGTACTACAACAACAACAATTATTACTACTACTACTATTTCTACTATTAGTTCTCTTTCGTCTTCTTTTTTCTTTTCTTATTTTAATCTTGTAAGTTTCTATAATGTTATTATTTTTATTTTAAAAAGGAAAACTTTCCATTTCTGCTCAATTCACTTGAATAATAAAATTTTAAATAAACCTAATTTATTTACCTATTTTTCAACTATTTTTAGGGGTTGGTTTTCTTTTATTTCTCTACCTAGTTATTTTTATCAATTCATAGAGCAGAAAAGGAAAAGATGAGCCATTCACTCTCTTATTTCAACTAATTATTATCTTTTTATGTTGTTAACAAATAGCGTTCAAAAGCTAAACAAGATCTGCTGGTAGAAAATATCATTCTATACTTTTTTCCATTCTTAATGCGGAAATATAAATCAAAAACCGAGACCGTGCAAGAGGATTAAATATACTCTCTATATATTTATAACATGGCCACCCCCTTACTCTGTTTTATTTAAATAGGAAATTTGCATGCTGTCCATAGCGTGGCAACTATTAATTAAATACTTTAAAAGATGTTAAAGCAAACGATACATAAGGAGCTTATAAGGGTACTAAATACAGCCTGTAGGAGAGCGAGAAAATTTACCTGTCGCCTCCCTAAAACTTCAAAAGAACCATTCGATATTTCTTATCTAAAAAAATATCCTTTGATGATAAAGGGTAGAAAGAGTAGAAACACGAGGTATTTCAGTCCAAGGGCACGTGTGCTAATCATGTAATTAACGACCCATGTAGGAGGTTGATAATCGTTTCGCGTACGTTTTTTTCCAGTCATTTGAATGAGAATAGAAAGAGAAATAACTCTTATTGTAAAAAACTTTTACAGCTGGTTAAACTTTGTGAAAAACTAGACAAACGCCTTGTTAATACTTTAGTATGGAAAGCTTTTGGAGGAGGATACCTCAGTGAGTTATTACATTTTAAAGTGAGGGGGCCAGAATATATAAATCACCTCAAAAAAAGAGGCCATACAATGTGAACGAGCCCAACGCTTATAGAAATGGATACGAGTCTTAAGAAAAGTGTGACCCTATTATTATTTATTCTACCCTAAAGCAATTCAAGTAAAAAATGAAGTTATTCGGCTATTTAATAACAAATCTCATAGTTCACTACTAGGAAGGGAATAATTCCTATATATAGATGAAAAGTTATAAATATATATATATATATACAAGCATACATAGTTCTAAAACTAATCGTTTACTTTGTTGTTTGTTCTCTTTCCATCCAGATCGATATTGGTGGATAGTAAGTTTACCGTTAAAAAAAGCTCTTCGACAAAGAACTTTCAATAATCGACTGTTTCTCATCTTTCTTTTATGGAAGAAAAACTCGCAGCACGTAGACGCTGCGTGTTGTTCACGGCCAGTTTCATCACGATTCAATCAAGGACTCTCTCGAACTTCGTATACAATCAACATTTTGGCACTACGCCAAGCGCGCCTTTGGCGATTTCAACGGCTATATCTTAATATTTATCAGAAATAGTGGTTCAATTATGGAGGAGCATTTAATTGAGATTAATTGTGAATGGTGGACTGTATAGGTGTCGAGAGTTTTTTAATTGGATTTCCAGCTGCTTTTATTCTCATAAAAGAGAGTAAAAGTTGGAAGATAGACCATAAAAATGTAACAGAAGTTTTAATAGAATAATGATTTTTTAATAGATACGATAATAATCTATTATTTACTTATGTAAATAAAGAATATCAATTAATTTATTAATTAATTAGTACAAACCTTATTTTTTTATCTTTTCTTAAAATTGAAAGAATGAGAATAGAAATAGTTTTCTTTTTTGGCTTCTTCTACTCCATTTCTCTTTATTATTGAAGAAACATTCCCTTCTTTTCAAAGTTTTCTCTTTCTATTTCATATTAGTATTACTTTTTACCTTTTTTCACTATGTAGATATTTGTATATTTTCGACGCAAACTCTCTACTGAGACTAAGTCTGTGTTTTGTAAATAGACAAGGCGCCATCTATTGACCAGATTTACATACAGAGTTATTCAATAGTTAAATTCACTTACTATCTAGGATATTATTACTGGAATTTCTACGGTATTGAAATGAATGTTATTTGTAATAGTCGTTGAAGCCTATTCACGCCCAACTCTTATATCATTTCAATGACGAACAATTAAAAAAGAAGGAAAGGCATATATTTATAAATACCTGTAGTCTATATATACAACCTTGTGCTCTTCTTGTTCTTCTCTTTCTCTCCTTTTAATCAACTTTACCTCTAAAAATAAAAAAGCAATGAGAGTATTGAATTTTCTATATACTTTATAAAGGATACTTGAAATAATTACATAACAAATAGTAAGACTTTATCAATTTTTGTTTTGTTTCCCTAATGGAAGAAGCAACAGGTAAAAAAAAAGTGTGTTATTATTGCGTTTTTAGCTTGTTCAAATATTCGTTCGTTGTTGCTTAAACACAGGAGAGAATTCATAAAAAAATAATCATTTTCTTTTTTTTTTAAAAAAAAGACAACCATATTTTCTAGTTAAAAACTTGGCTATGCTTTGTTCAATGGTTTAATTGATTATAATCTTTATTATTAAGGTATGAATAAATCTCACTTTAATCCTTTTTTTTATCATTTACCAACAACTACCTCATTTATAGTATTTAGATATAATCTCTTCACCAGTTCATTCAGTTGAATACAATTTTCCCGCCTTATTTACGCTAAACTAATGGGTAAAGTCTATTTGTTATACGATAACAATAAACTAACGTAGGAACCTTGACAATACCTTTGGCGGTAGATGTCGCTTTATCAACAGATTCATTTGGTAGAGTCCCCTATCGAATAATTATTGAACTAAAAAACTGAAATCCTCCATTAGTTATAGCTCTTTGCTTTTCTTGCGTTTATTAAAAAGAATGGGAAATTAAAGAATGAAAAGATTGATTTAAGATTGTTATGATATAAATTCTATAGTATAAAAATGATTAGTTTTAATTAATCCAACTGTCGAGTAAGCAATTAATGAATGGCGTGTGAAAATTGCTAGAAAAATAAAATAAGATAAGGTTATAGATGAAGTAATTTCTTGGAAAGATCGTGTTTTATTAACAGTTTTCCAACTACTCAAATACTTCTTTCAAGTCTTCTCAACCGAAAAAATATAGGGGAGGGGAAGGATAGAGAGAGAGAGAGAGAAATAAGAGTTGGAGAAAGTAAGCAGGTATGGAAGAGTGACTGGAGTACGGAGAAAAAGAAACAATTGTGAAGATGTGAAAGAAAGAGGATACAATGTGTTTTTCAAAAACATATATTATAAATTAGAAACGTTTCCTGGAAGTCAATTAATTAATCTTGTTATACAGTTGACGTACATGCTATTATTTAACTCTTTGTAAAATTAAATCTGAGCCCTTTGCTCTCTTCTCTTTTTCTATTTCATAATAATTTCTCTTACATTCTATTTGAATAGATTAAGCTAAGATTATTAATATAATTAATCCGTATATAAAAAATAATACTAGTATACGAATAGCAAGCGTAATAAATCAAAGGCATAGAATGTATAATTCATAATAGTTTCTTAAGGCTATACTTTATAAAAATAGGCCGGGCAGGAAAAGAAAGAACAAAGTAAGAATGATATAAAAAAATGGCTTAAAAGAAAGATTGAAAGCTATATACACAAGTTATTATAAGAGAAATTACGTTTGTTTATTGTCAACCGGCACTTTCTTCTACGAAAGAGTCGTTTACACCTAACTGACTTTTCCCTTTCTTTCTACTTAAGTAGTTTGTTTTGTCACGTAATTATTAGGAATTAGCGTAGATATACACTAACAAGATATACTCTTTCTTCTATGTGAATGATACCATCTAACGTAATCCTTTATGTTCATTGCTGAATACATTAATATACTATATATATATATATATATATATCTATAATAATGTATAGTACGTACTGCAATATACCATATACATTTGGTACTTTATTGCTTTATATTTAATGATTTACTTTATAAACGACGGCAGCATAAACCAGTTTATTGACTATCAATCACTTTTTATAGCAGAGGTATTCCGTGTGAACTTGATTCCATATACAAGGTCGCATTTTATTAATAACCACCTGTACTTATAAGTGAGAAAAGATGAAGGATGAGCTTATAGGAATTCTATACTTATTATAATCTATTTATAGATATTACAGCGTTGATTTTCTTTGTTGCTAAGGTATGTTTAAAGAATTCTTGCAGATGAAAAGAATTTATGTAAGGAATGAAGAGAAAACTATACAGTCTTACAATAAAGACAATCCTCTAAAAATATATACAATTGCTATAAAAGGATCTATGAATAGTTTAGTAAATTATCCTAGGAAAGAATAAAAATATCACATTTTGTCTCTATAAAAGCATTTACCTAGAATTTTTTATAGTTTCCAAATAGATACGTTTTTTTTCTTCTATTAAAAACTTCTTTTTAATTATACAATAGAACCATAAGATGTGTCAGACTTTTTTGCTATATTTGTAAACGATAAGGTCATATTAGAATCATGTAAGTTTTAGAGAATAAGCTTACATAACTACAAAAAATATTGAAGTGAGTGAGCAGCAGGAAAAGAAGATAAAGAGACACCAGGACAGAGAGAGAGAGACAAGTGGATGGAGATGAAATGGATTAATTTTCCTTTAATAATTGTTAATAGTGAATAATTTAAGAAAAATGGATATAAAATACGTGTTTATAAGCGTATTATTTACTTGTAAACACACAATTTACAACTACTAAAGTTGATACTGTTTATGGTCGTTAGCTAGTTTATAAAATGACAAAATAAAGATGAGAAGTGTAAACTTTATTATCATAAATGAATATTAAATTTGTCAAAAGTGAATAATGTTATTGCTCTAAGCGTTCATTCCATTCTAAATAGGATCCTTTGTATCTGTAATGAAGAAATAAAACAGGATATTAATTCTAATTTGAGCGACAATAAAAGATTTCTTTTTTTAGCAGTTACAAGAATTTTATTTTTACCGCTTAATGTTAATATATCCCATAGAATATAAACATCGATAACCTTCAACGGCCCTTGCACCACTTCTACAGTAGATTATCAGGTTCGAATGCGATTTTTCCGCTTTGTATTTACCATATTTCTCTTGGAACTTGTCCTTAGGAAGTCGAAAGGCTTCATTTAATTCGTGCACTTGAATAATTAATATTTAGTTATATTTAATTTTATCTATAATGAAAGAATAAAAAGCTAACATGGGACATTAACGGCTTTCGGTAGAAGATAAGTTTCAACTATTTCACTTCTATTTCGTACATCTATTAAATAAGGTACTGTTTCGTCTTTGATCTTTAATAATTCTTTTAAATTCTCATAACTAACGTCTCTAATTTCAATAGTTGTATCCGTTCCATTGCCTAATAATGGCGTAAGTCATTAATACTAACCTTTTTCTCTTTCTTATTCTGTTTTACTTACAAGTTTCATAATCATTCGAGACGTTAAAACTAATAGAAAATAGTTAAGTTGTTTAATTAATATTTCCTCTGCTAGCAAAAGGAATTTGACAAAACTTACTAATTAAATAGCTTTGAGAATGACGATGGATCGTAAAAGTATGCGACAAGACCAATGGATAAGCTGTTAGAAAATACAAAATACGATAGAATATCATATACTGTTTGTCTTCCTAAGACGATTAATAGTTTCAGATTTGAGTATATAAACTGATTATGAAAATATCTCTTAGGATATAGTAATTATATCAATAATATACATACTGTATAGAGTACAATTGACAATGAAAGAAACGACTTTGTAATATCAAACATATAAAATATATGTTCTAGTTTCATCTAGAACTTTTATTATAAGGTCGTTAATAGCATTTGATTATAGGCAATGTATCAGTTAGGATGTATTTTAAGACCTAAAATAAACATATGTACTGTTATTGGCTATTGATTAATCGAAAGAAAATTAGAGGTATAAAATAAAAAGTAACTGTTATCGGCTGAATAGAGAGGAAGTTAGATATAGGAAACAGAGATAGAGGTGAGAGGGAAAAGAAAGGAAGAGCAAACGAGAGAAACAATAGCAATAGTTAAAACTATTCAATTATGAACTCTCTCACCTTGTTATGAGAAAGAATGGCAACCGTAGCATTTGAACTGCATGAAACAAATAATATATAAATATATATAAAATTTATATATATGTATATATGTATATATGTTTTAAGATAACAGATAGCTAGTTTAATTAATGAACAAACTCATCCAAGTGTAAGGTCAGTTAATACCTTTAGGTTGGCTTGCTTGATGTAATTAGAAAAGTACTCAGTAGTATAATCTATTGTGATAAAATATTTGATTAGAGATAGTCATGCAATCATGTAAAAATTAGCTATTCATTGAGCGTTTCTGTTGAAGATGGAAAAATATAGCTTTTTCCATCTTTTTCATTCTTTCACTCACTCTCACTCTCTCTCACTCTCTCTCCTTCTTGCTCTCCATTTTTAATGACGACATAAAACGTGATTATAGTAGTATCTGTACGCTGGTTAATGAGAAGATATTCTACAAGTGCATATTACCTTTTAAGGTCAACTTTACATTTAATGACTATTGTTTTATATCGTCGTTAATTCTTAATAGTCTTTTGACTATGTTACATATTATATATTGATAAGGTCGTTCATATTTAACATTACAGACTATAAATAACAGTTTCCGTCACAGAAACTACATCAATAAAGAGTGAATCTATAGATTCTCTTTCTTTTGTAGCTTTAAAATAAACTAGTCTTTTTCTCTATACAAACATCAATAAATACGTTCTATGAATCTTCACAAACCGGAACACAAATATCTCTGAAGAAATGATATCGATTTCAAGCCCTCGAAATCGTCTAGTAGCGTATATGATAGGTTAAAGAGCGATATCTTAAATATATGGCAGCCAACTCGAAGGTCATCCGAATGTCATAAATGGTGAAAAAAAGAAGAGGGCGCTACTAATCATCGAGCGACCCTGTTTACAGATAATTAATCGTCCTGAAACTATCTCAGGCAATGTGAAAAACAGATTGTTTAAACAGATATTTTCGGTCGACAAATTGTATTAAAAACACCTTAAACAAATTAAAATAAAAAGTCAGTGTATAAAATGATGTAAATCGATAAAATAGTAGTAGTTTTTCCCCTATTTATAAATAAATATATAGGTATATATATATATATATAAAGCTCGCAAAAAGGGAAAAATCAATTGCAAAAAAAGCTAACGTCCCTTTTCAACAGGTTATAGACTGCATATAATTGTTCCGATCAATCTTTTTTCACTTGAAATTAAACGGCTATCAGTGAGGAAGCGTCTAAAATGTTTTTTTTTTACTTTTTTTTTATTTAAATAAGATTCTAAGCACGAAATAGTACGCGTCAAAAAATTAATGATGATCTCTCGTCGGGGAAAAGCTCCTCTCCTACTTAGAACTTCTCTTCTAATGGTTTTTTTTTCTTTTCCAGCTCAAGTCAAGTTTTTAGCAGTTGGCTAAATCTGGCATATTCGTCTATATTTTAATGTAATGGTACAAGTGTCGGTATATATATATATATATATACAGTATATGTATATATATTGTATATGTTTAATTATAGTGCTATTATGGTTATGTAAGAATACTTTACACTTTACAACAGTCGGTTAAGTATTTTTCGTTTCTTCAGTTATCTATTAGCTAAGCTAAAAACAATTAATTTGTTCATCCTAAAACGGCTTTAAAATAAATCTTTAATGAGATAATCTTCTTATTATTAATCCTTTCGATCAACTTTTTTCCCTTCACTTTTTAATGATCGATTAAAAACAGACATTTTACGAGACAATTTTTAAAAAAGCAACAATATTGGAAGAATTCTATTTCTAAAAGAGAAATGTGTATGGTAAAGGTTTAACTCTTCATTCTTCTGTTTAGAGCAAAGAGTGTAATATTACTTGATGTTTTAGATATTAGCCGGTAATATAAGATTTAGATGAAATATTTACATAAAAGAAACGCTCAAGTAGATAAGACAATATTCAGAATATGGATAAAATAAGACCAAAAGTAAAGATTGTTTGTCAAAGTCCAACTACGCTGTTGATCATAAATCTTTAAAAGGAAACATAACCACAAAAAATATATGAGTATTTATATAGGAGTTAAATAAATTATTTTGAATAGACGCTTCTGTTATAAAGGCATATTTTATAAAAATATTCTCTATATAGAGTATATTATATACGGTAAACGCGTATATTTATAGTTATACATATTGTATATAGTATATATATATATATATTATTGAAATTATGTGCATTGGAAACCTTGTTGAAACAGTACTGGATGGAGTTTTATTATTTTTGCCTATTAATATTTTCAATTAAAAATCTATATGAATTAAACATTTCATATTTTTCAGTTAAGCCCTTCATTTACAGAAGGTTTCTCTACTTATTTATTAAGGCTATATAGAGTGATATCATTATTCAACTCACTCCTTCTACTGCTTTTAATTTCATATAAACCTGTTTTACGTTGGTTTTTTATATTTATTTACATAAAAGCACATGGTGCAGACAGATATACACACACACATATATATACATATATATATATATAAATATATATATATACATATATATATATATAAATATATATATATATATTGTATATAGATACATACATGTATTTATGATACAGTAAATCTCTTAAACAATTGTTTTGATAAGGCAGGGCAGGAAAAATCAAGGAAAAACAGCAGTTGAAAATTTTTACATATAATAAGGTCATGGAAATCTTTCTTACTTTTCCTTCTTTTTATTAAATGCTTATATCTTATCATTTTATGTTTTAAAACAATGATAGTATAAAAAATATTCTTCAAATATTCTTAATTTTCATAAATTTTTCTAGTTTCGTTTCTAATTTTTTGTTTTTTTGGTTCTGTCAGAAAATTTTCAGTTGAAAATTCATCATCGTTTAAAAGTTGAATTAAAACAGCAAACTTAAAAGATTTTGCTTGAATGAATGAAAAAAGAAATATTGCTTTCTTTTTTCTTTTATTATCTTCTTAAAAGTCCAATTTAATTTCTTTTTTTTATTCATATATATATATATATATATATATATATATATAAATAAATCAATTTTCAACATCGATACCAACAACATCATAATCATTATCATTATTATTGATTAACAATTCGTTTTTTTTCATCTAAATTCGCTTTGAAAATCAAAAGAATGGGATTTTTTAGTTTGTTCTATACCTTTCTTTGAAATCGGGGTTGAAGAAAAAAAACATTGGGTAAATAGAAATTATCAACCATTTTTAAATGGTAAAAAGTATTAAAATATATAAAAAAAGAAGAAATAAACTGGTTAAAGTAAAAAACAGAAAATGTTGCAAAATTTAAAAAAGTAGACGCTTAATAAAGTATAGCGTTACCTTTTTTAACTAAATTCTCTCTTTTTGGTAAAAAAAGAATTGTTAAAATGGTAAAAGATTTTCTGATAGGCATATATTAAATTGGGGCTTATTTCAAATAAAGTTAATGGTCATTATAATATGAGAGAGAATTGTAAGGATGTTGCATCCATATAGGAGCTAGATCAAATGGAATTTTAAGTATCTTGATAAATTTTGGAAAGTTATACTACCGATATTTTTGCAGCCCTCAGTATGTCTTATGAAGAAATTGAAAAAGGGCGGAATGGGAACAAACAATCGAACACAAAAATATAACTGAACGAACCAGTCGTTCAACAAGTGGAAGTAGAATTTGTCGTAGTTGTTGATATTAGTCCTGAACTGACAGCTAAAAGTAGATCGAAAGAAGAAGAATTTTGCGCATTTGAGGATGTTGCTCCTTTTTTCGCTTTTTGTTTTAAATGGATTTTAGTATGGCGTTTTCTTTCATCTGATCTAGCAAACTTCCTTCCACATTCTTCGCAGGTAAACGGCTTCTCTCCAGTATGAGTTCGGATATGAGTAGTTAAATGATCAGATCTGGAGAATGCTCTATCGCAAATCTTACATTGGAATGGCTTTTGACCAGTATGAATTCGTATATGCCGTGTTAGTTCGTCGGATCTGGAAAATCTTCTTTCGCAAGTTTCAGTTGGACAGATGAAAGGACGCTTAGTCTTAGATGATTGGCTTTTACCTCTCTTGGCCTTCTTACTACTTGTTTCCTCTTCTTTATTCTTTTGTAAGAATTCTGTCAACATATTTAAGTCGATAAGTTGCTGCGACGGCGGGGTATCTTGAGGTTTTTCCTCTTCCATCTGAGATTCCACCGAAGGCGTTGGTGATTCAAAATTCGGCATATCGACAGTCTCCGACTGACTATGTACTTCTTGCTCATCATTCAACACATTTTGTTCAAAGAGAGCATGAGCGTAGAGAGAAATCAACGGCATACTTGGAGTCTTTGGTGAGTCGGCTTCCAGAGACGCTTTGACGCCTATGGATAATAACATATGACGTCATATTAGTGTAAAAGGTGAATGGAAAGTGAACGGACGCCAATGTCGTCTGTTTTATCGACTTTTACGAAAGGACGCCATAGATGGCGCCAAGTTTATAAATCGAATTACTAGTGCGCTTATTGTTTCATGAAATATCCAGCAAATGTCATATAATTCTCATTCCTTCATGTTTTATATTTAAAGAAAAGGAAAGACAGAGGATCAAAGAATAGTGATATTTGTACACTAGATAAAAACTCTAAAAGTTAGACCGAATTAATAAATTGAACAATCTCTTTCTATTATTCCTGCCTCATATTCCTTATTGGATTAATTGCTGACAACCTAATAAGATTCTATTAAATTCTTAATGAACAAATTTTAATTGCGTTTTTCCTCTTCAAAGATAAAGTTCTTGCAGTATAATATTTAAAAAAAAAAGCAGTCTCGTTAGCATAAACATAAGCATGAATGTTTGCCTATTAAGATTAATAATGCATATTACGCTTCTCTCGAATGGTAAGGTGCGACGCAAAATCTATATATTGTATAGTTTGTATTAACGTGTCTTTATATTTATCTAGTTGGGCCTTGATATTGACTATGTTTTGTTTAATAGGCATATAAATATATACAGAGAATTTTTAGATAGAAAAAATAATTTCACCTAACTTTCGGATACTTTTATCTTTATTTCTCCTTTATTTTGTCTCTCTATCTATCTATATTATACTTTTCCTACCATACTCAAACACACAAATAAAAGGGTAAGAAAAAAAGAGAAAATGACAAAAATTTTTTATTCCCTCTCTCTCTTTCTCTGTGATACTCTCTTTATTGTATGGTATATTGTATTTATATTGAAAAATAAAGAGTATACTAGAGTTAACAGAGTAGGAAAGGAGGGGAATGTAAATTTGTTAAGGATTAAAAACAGACTATTTTAAAACAGAAGAAAAATAACGAGAAGAGAAAACAGATGGGGAAAATTTTTTTTGGTTGACATAAATAAATACCTATCAATATACTGTATTTATTAATATATGCAAGTATATACAGTGTACATACACACATACATATATACATCTATGTATTAGTATGTTTATAGCTTTTGTAGATAAGAGAGAAAGTAAACTTAATTGCTAATACATAATTCTCATATACTATGTCTACATAACAAAAAAAAAGATAGATAGATAGACAGATAGATAGAGAGAGAGAGAGAGAGAGGAAAATCGAGAAAATAGGCAAATAATACGAGGATACTCTATATTATATTATGTAAAGATCATTCGCAAATACTGTGCATAATTCCTATTCGAATTATTAAATTATGCTAAAAATGATTATATTAAATAATATTATGACTTATAACATTACTAATATACCTGTAAACTAAATCCGGTGATAATCGAATTTGGATCAAATTCTTTACTAACCAAATTTTATATTGTTCTATATGGATTTTCAAATTGCTCGTCGGCTATCTTAGTTGTTTTCATTTGATTGAAGTCATTGAACTTGAAGCGTTTACACAAAAGATGGCGCAAAAATACCAACCTTTTAGAGGATTTTCACCCGAGAAAAATGTCGTTTCGTATCCCAAAGCCGTTGAAGCTGGTGTATTCAATTCATCACTCGATTCACTATTTAATCGTGCCGTCTCGGAATATGTAAAAGCGTCAAAAGAGACGCTCGATAAGTCAGAAGTAAACGGTGATATAGGATTTAAAGTTTCCATCTCTCATATACATCTGCCAGCATCGAAAGAAGTTTTATGAATGAAGCTTTTACGCTGTGACCTGTAACTAGGTCATCCATTAGCCAACCAGCTCCTAGTTTAAAAAGACGTCATTTTAATGAATATTAAGCAGTTATACTGTTTTCGTTGTTTTAAAGACAAAAGTGGTTATTAAGAAATTCTTTTTTTGCTAAAAATGATAAAGAATTTTTTAATCCATCTATACTTACCAAAAAATGTTCATTTTTCAACATTAAGCATCAGTTTTCTATATATGGAAATTCAACTTCCGCCTTCCTTTGACGTCAGAAAATCCAAATTTGGTAGGCACTTCCTGCGAGTTTGTTATCCTGCGTCCGAAAATAGAATTAATTAAGGCACTTTTTATAGACAAAAAAACTCACGTCATTATTATTCGGTTAATGAATTAGATTGTTTTATTAAAAAAACAAAAATATAAAATAGACAAGTATAAAACATATACATATATATTTATATATATCATATTATCTGATTTTATATATATTAGTATATGTATATATGTCCATATATAACATTCTCAAAATACATATATACATATATATATATACTGTGTGTGAAGAACATCTTGAATAATACTACCACGTTTATTGGTTTGCTATAGATAAAATAAAAGAAATGTTTGGGCCTAACATGAATAATCCTTCTTTTTAGGAGAATGAGTATATAATTATTCAGTAGAAATCTTCTAGTGATTAATCTATATATAGCTAAACTTGGTATATATATATATAGATATATATACACTGTATATATATAAGAATAAATATAAATATTCTCATGGAAAGGATATTTATACACTATAACGTATTTGTATCTTAATCAAGCCAGTCATTTATTCATGTATGTAGAATGGAGAAACCTTAAATTTTTCATTAAAGATCAAAAATTGCTGATCCATTATTCCGTCTATTAAGAGTTTAGATTCTTTTCTGCTTCAATGTACATATTGATGCCTATGGTTAAACTATCGCCAGATGGCGGTAATTCCCTTCTCTATCACTCCTTTTCCTTGGCAATGACATCGAATAATTCGCCATTTTGAAAGGAGCTAAAGATTATTGTATTGTATTATAACTGAAAATATCACTGACATAACAAAAATTATGAAGAAATATAAAATAAAAATATTATTAAATGATTAATACATCAAGAATGGGAGTCGTGTCCATAAGTCGTGAAATTCTTTCGCCTTTAAATAGAGCGATTTTCTAAAAAACTTTTCAAACGGTTAAAGACTGACTAATGAAAATAAACATCACGACAAACAAAAATGATAGAACCGTTAAAAAAAGAAATGAAGAGAAGAAACGAAGAAAACATGAACATTTTTTCTTTTTACTACAACAGTATTTATTATTCTATTATGCTATAAAAACTAAATAATACAATTTATTATATAACTTATATGGACTAGTAGGTTATATTTGGTTATGTAATTGTCAAAGAATTTTATAAGTGTGAGAGAGAGAGAGAGAGGGAGAAAGAGAGAGAGAGAGAGAGAGAGAGAGAGAGAGAGAGAGAGAGAGAGAGACATAAAACAAAAGAACGAATACCAATAAAAAGACCTTACTACTGTAAAATACTGTATTTATAGCTTTCTTACCATTTTTATTATTTTCATAGACTGTATAAATGCAAAAACTAAACTATAAAATTCTTTAATTAGTTTTCTTATTACTTTAAATAGTAATATTCTGCACAATGTGTAAGAATGCATATACACACATATATATCTATCTATATGTACAGTATTTATAGATATATACTAATATATATGTAAACAGAATATATATAAAGACGTTTAGTACCAATATTTAGATTTATCTATTTATTTATTCGCTCTCTTTCTTCTCTATTATGTCTCTATTTTAAATTTATGTTTCGTTCCCTTTAGGGTTACTATTTTGACAATAATCCGAAACGAATAGAAATTTGAGAATACAAGTTTTAATTGTCATGGTTTTGTTTGCTAAAATTGAGTAGAATGCAAACTATAAGCACTTACTATAATTGATGGACAGAGGATACTTTTAATTTCAATTATCTTAAAAGGTTGAATTACATAATTTAAAAGAGATAATAGTTTAGGTACTTTTAAATGAATAGAGACAATAGATAATTTCTAACACATATATGCCATACTTATGCAGTAAGCTAAAGAATTCTAACCTATTTTTTCATCCTACTTTTAGTCGTATTTTATAGTATACAATATTCTGAATTATTAACGTACAAAAAGTAAATTTTGGCTAAAAAGTAATCTCATCACACCACTTGACGTCAAAGAGCCAAACTGGTTCTAGAGAATTTCAGCCATTCTTTTGACGTCTAGTATAGACGATGAGATTACTTTTAGGCTAAACAACTTCCGTTCTAATTTTTCCTTTCTTGCTACATTTTATTTAATTTTAAATCGCTGCCTCAGCTGATGCATTCGGAGTATATAGTAATAAAAGAACCATTTTATCTTTATCCCCTCCTATTCAAATATTCCACTTTTAACGACTGCTATTTTTAAACTCGGATTGGATATAAGGAAGGTTCTAGAATATATAGCATTTAAAGGAGATCTCCGATCTAAATATAGAAATTTTATTTTTTTGGTCATGATAGAGGAGAGTCTGGGTATTTCTGTTTGTTAAGTAGATAGCTCCGAGTAGAGTAACATTTTGCTCTTTAGAATTGATCTATACCTTTAGAGCTTTAACTGTAAGTTGTCTTGAACTTTATTAATAATTAATAAAGGACGAATATCGATAAGGAAAATGTCATTTATTATTAACTTACGAAATTTTTTATAGATTATGTCATATTCTTTATATAAAAGATAGAAAGAGTGCCTGAAGGCTTTTTTTCATTTTTTTTTAGCGAAAAGTGTTATAGTTTACCGTTAATGAAGATTATTCCTAAGATACTGATAATACTTTCCTTTTATCATCGCCTTGTAATATAAGAGCTAGAAAAGAAAATGAGAATAGAAAATAGTTTAAAAATGATCGTTTCCATTCTATTTACTTTATACTTTCCTTAATCACTATCCTTTATCTTCTTGTTTAATTTCCAGCCATTTTCCTATCGTACACAATATGCAAATACATATGTAAAGAGAAAAAATAGTGTTAAAAAAAAGAGATATAGATGAAAAGATAAAAAAGAAGAGAGTAGTAAGTTTGTAACTATATTGAAATAATCATTTAATAATCATGAAAGAAATTATCAAAACATCTACA